TCATATCTAAAATGTACAAAATATGATGAGTCTGTACTTGTGATCTATCACTCCATTCATATTTTTTGGATTTGCATATACAGGGTGACTCAAAAAAATTAATGAATGCGTAAATATATTTTATTGATTTAATCAGGAACTACAAAACCGAATGCTCTGAAATCCTGCAGATGTTGTAAGGTCATAAAGAGCATAATAAATGTTTAGTCAAAATATATTTGCTTATCCCCTCCAAAAACTTGATGACGTCAGCTCGAAAGTTTGCCGAATAAATCATATCTAAAATGTACAAAATATGATGAGCCTGTACTTGTCATTTATCACTCCATTCATATTTTTTGGATTTACATATACAGAGTGACTCAAAAAAATTAATGAATGCGTAAATTTATTTTATTGATTTAATCAGGAACTACAAAACCGAATGCTTTGAAATCTTGCAGATGTTGTAAGGTTATAAAGAGCATAATAAATTTTTAGTCAAAATATATTTGGTTATCTTCTACAAAAAACTGATGACGTCAGCTCAAAAGTTTGCCGAATAAATCGTATCTAAAATGTACAAAATATGATGAGTCTGTACTTGTGATTTATCATTCCATTCATATTTTTGGATTTGCATATGCAGGGTGACTCAAAAAAATTAATGAAGGCGTGAATTTATTTTATCGATTTAATCAGGAATTACAAAACCGAATGCTTTGAAATCTTGGGAATATTTTAAAGTTATTATAAGCATGGTAAACTTTTGTTCAAAATGTATTTGTTCATCCCTCCTAAAAAAATTGATGACGTCACCCTTAAATTTTGCTGAATAAATCCTATCTAAAATGCAAAAAATATGATGAGTTTGTACTTGTGATATATCATTCCATTCATATTTTTTAGATTTTCTTAAGAGGTGGTTCAAAAAAATTAATGAAGTCAATTTATTTTATTGATTAAATTAAAGGCAACACTTATTATTAGTATTACACCCCAACCAACCCAATTTGGTAGACACAAAATTTGTTAAAGGAAAAACTCGGTTGAAACATAAGGGTAGCACGCTTATTTACATCGACTTTAACATTACAGACCTGCATTTGTTTTATGCGGTCACTTGGTTCCGCGAATGCGAAATAGACATGTTTATAATCAACCAATTGTGAATTTCACCGTCAAGAATTAAAATAAAACCCAATGTTTTATATAATAAGCGGAGGTCGAAGCAATAAAACCGATGGTCGTTTTGTTTACAGTTTCTCTGTTTGACTCTCACGTATGCTGTTACGCTTGTCATCTTAAATTAAGAATGTTTATACATAAACGATTTTCAGTTGCCCCTCATATTACTAGACAGCGGATTTCTGTCGGGCTACGTCACGATTATAGGGGGGGACGTGCTGGATTCCATAAATATAATTAACGATTTATTAATCAAACGGCTAATTAAATGAGAACGGGAATTAACAGCAGAGTGCAACGAAACAACGTTATTCTAATCTCAAATAAACGAAGTGCAGTCCGCAACGGCAATGAATTCGCATCCCGTGCGAGCCGTACCGAGTTTGGCCTTGCCTAGCCCGACAGAAATTCGCTCTCTAGATATTACACACCGGCGCCGTATACGTGAGTAAATTGTTTCGTTATTTTATTGATTATAAGAAATCAATATTCAAAACGACCCAATTCATTTTCCCGAAAATTTGGGAACACAATAATTTTATTCTTAGTATTACACTACATCTATCCCAACTGATATACGTGTCCTTGCAAAAATATTGATGACGTCATCACAGTTTTTTTTTAAATTCCCACTACAAAAATGTAATGAGAAAAAAAAACATAATAGGCATGCAGTCGTCAAGTTTCCGACAGCGAGGGAAGTACTGTCTAAACTCTTTAGACCAATTTTTTGTTATCTATATTTTGTAAAAGTTTTTATTACCTGATACCATTTTAATTTTCTCTGCTTTTCAGCTATTTTTGTAGATAACTCTTTTAGTTTTTCCTTTTTTGCAGAGTAATGAATTAATAATTGTTTGTTCCTTGGTCGTTTTAATTTATTTTATGTGTTCCTAGTTTGTGCATTTTTAGTGATGCTTTCAAGTAAATTTTAGACTTTTTCATTTATGAATTCTCTTAGAAATTCAACTTTTTTAACTTGTTTTGAAAACAAATCGATATCATTTCATTCTGCACGTCTACAAGTACTCTCTTACTTGTTCTTCTTTTAGTATCATGTTTAAATTTCAATTCTTTTGTTCTTACTACCACATTAACAGTTATAGCGGGACATTTTTTAACTTTGAGCATATGAAAAGATGTATAGGTCTAATCCCTATGTTAACTAATAAGTATACAGTAAAAAAAAATCACATCAATGCATTGGAAGTATGCAACCCATGTTACATGTAGATCCTTCATTAAAAAACCTAATGGCTAATGGTTAACTTGAATTATTGTTATAATAATAATTTGATATTACACGTGTTAAAAGTAAGTTTGTATTTGGTAAGTATGGGAGTAAAAGTAAAATTTTGTACGAACAAAATAAAATCACTTTTAACATGAATATTATATAGTATTTTTTATACAAACACTGTAACAAGCAACAAAAACGTTTACTTAATATTAATTTTTATAAACGAAATGAACAACTTGGGGGCAGATGTGAATAAATTCATAGAAACTGTCAGTTTGTTATTAATTACAAACAATATGTGGCATACGTATTTACAAGCATGAATACTAAAGAAAACGAAGAAAACGATGCGGTACCAGAGGGAATCGAAGAAATAACTAACTCGATTTGCTCCCGACAAAGTCGAGGCTATTGACTTTTATAAACCATTTTACTTTGAACATCAGTGTTTAAAGTAATTCACTTTTAACACTAGTGGCATAAAGTGACACTTTTAACGTTTCATGACAGATGTCAAAAAACCTACTTTTAATAGCGTTTGTCTAAAAAATATTTTACAAAAATGTAAACAATGTTTATACTCGATACACCACAAATGAAATGGAACAAATTATGTTTTAACCGAAGGAAAGAAGAATAAGAATATGCAATGCGGAAGAAAAGCCAATGTTTTCATTACGTCATTGCAACTACTTTGGAATTTCTTGTACTAGGAGGTACAGAATCAGGTGTGCATTTCGTTACTTAACATTGGTTACACAGTACACACTTCCAATGCATTGATGTGTATTTTTTAAAACTTGACATAGGGATTAAGCCCATACTGACTTTCATACGTTTAAAGATAAAAAAAATGTCCCAGTATAATATTTGCAGTGTGTTTTGGTGAATTAGTTAAAACGTATTTACCTATAATCTATTGATGTCTTTCCTTGATTTCGTGTAGAAGCTGTTCCATTGAGAAACTTTTTCGTTTAGAGTAGTTTACTTCCCTTATTCTGATAAGTTTAATAACGCTTTCTCTTCTTACCTTATTCTCAGCGCATATTGCGGTTTTTCGCATTATTTGTTTTTTCTTCCTCTACACAAACATTCGATTGTTTTTGTCTAATTCTCGCTCTAAAATCACCTGCTCTGACTAGATGTACATGTCCAAATTGATTAGTTTCTGATCACCTTTGTTATTTGTTTTTAACATGTTTTGACTTAGACACTATTTTTACATCTTAAAATCTATTTAATTTTACTTCTGCCTTTTTGTTTTCATTTCTGTTAATTAAAAATGATCATAGTTGTTTAGACTTTCAAGTCTCCTTCTTATTATTATCTCTTGCTGTACCTATATTTCACTTTGTAGTTATTGTATTTGATTAGTAGTTCATTTCTAATTTAAAATTTTTGTTTCAACTTGCTTGAACTTGGAAATCCTTAGTAGATAATTCGAAAAAAATATGTTTTCTGATTTGTGAGTCAATCAGTGTGCCGTACATCGCAAGCCATACCTATTTCGTAATACGGATTAATTTAATAATAAAAAACACGATCAAAAACAGCTATGGATGTTTAAAGATTTGTCTTTGATTGTTGCATTTTCAATTCAAATTTTCCAATTGACGGCAATCTGACAAGATAAAAATTCTATCAATTACAAATCTTCAAAAATCTTTGACCGTGCATTTTATTGCTCGCTCGGTATAATCAAAGATTGTCTAACTAGCTTTGACTTATCAAAAACCATACTCCTTTAATTTACGAGATTGTCAGTAAATTAGTTAAAAAATTAATACTGTTATGAAGTGATCATGAAGTCTCCAGGAGGAATGTGTGGCTGTTTAAATAGCGACCGCCATCGCAAGCGGACAGGCTAGTAAAATTCATTCCAGTCGATTAATTTAAGCTGTATTTGTTACTTGTGTAGTTGCGTATTATCGAGAAATAGATTGTTGAGTTTTACCTCCGGCGATTTAATTTTCGTGAATCGCAACAATACTTATCACACTCTCTGCAAGCAGTTAGGAAAACTGAGAGAAAACTACTGCGGTACAAACAGTATCACCTCTCAGTGTATTTCTATACTAAAAATATAAAACCTACTATTTTGAAAGATATTTTATTTTAAGATCAGGCAAAGTGTATAAGAATGAAGGATTGTGTATGTACAGCAGCAAAGAACAGACAAAACATAAATATATTTAAACTAAGTAATGAGGTAATTTTTACTAGAAGAAAGAGGTGATCTTAATGGTGAAATTTGTGCAAAACATTTACCCATTCGAACATTTATTCTAAAACTTGTTCCAGTAATAATCCACTGTAATGTTTATTTAGAAAAAATTATGTTAAAGTTATCTCATAAAAAATAATTATAAAATTCTTTGGAAGATACGTAGATTACGACAAAAGTACAGAGCTACCTCATTTTTTGTTTTAGGAAATAACAATTAAAGATATGTAACAGTGAAACAACACGTCTTCTGTATGATTTATTTACACACAATAAAAAAGAATTTCATAAAAACAATTATTATAAATTACTAAACTAATATTCACATTAAAAAATATTTTTACAAAATCACATGCACATAGTCTTCTATTTAAAAATTAAACATTATTTTTCTTTGATATGAGATATGTTCTTACATAAAATAATGAAAATAAATTTCGCAATTTACATGTTTGTAAATGAATATTAGATCACATATACACAAGAATGATGAAAATATGAATTGTACACTAATTCTTTGGAATGCATGAGTTTTGACTCGCTTTAGGGAATTAAGACAATTCTGGCAATTAATTAATATCTCGTCAATATAAGAGTCGTCCAACCAAAATGGTCCTAAAATAGCTTGATTACCGATTAACTCCACATTTTAAAAACCATTTCGGTACCACAAAGCGTTAACTTGAAAAAGTTCAACAATACTAGAATGGAAAGGGTAAGACAACATTTATGCCAAAATTATTTAGGTCCACCAAGGTCACTGTAAACGCGGCCAGTATTGCGACGTCATGTCAGCCTGCCCTGGAACTGCTATAGGGACAGACACGCCAGGAGATATTAAACCTGCAAAGATAAAAATGTTAATTTAATGTTGTTTGAAAAAAATAGCTACCAGTAAAAAAAACTTTTTACCTGTCGACGAAGTTCCATTTGTGTTGTATTGATGTCCATTCATTTGATAAGGTTGTGTAGGACTGCAGGGAGACGGTCTTGACCCATATCCTATCCCTAAGTCATAACTAGGTGGACGACCCATGCAGTAACCACTCATTGCTCCGCCCATTCCCGGACTTTCCCTTTGTTGCAAACAAGCTCCCGGAGAAGGTCCCATACTCGTGCTAAGTCCTCCATGACTAAACGTTGGCATTGAAGACATTGAACTACCAAGAAATAGATACACTTATTAGATTAATTACACTTTTTATACAAACATTATAGGAGTAGGTATCGAAATTCGGCTTGCGAAGTCCTTTGGTTATCACGTTAGATATTTTTTTATATTTTGAATCACAGTTTATTTTAATTTCAGTTATTGTTGATAACTAATTAACGATATTTTTCAGATCGCATTTTTCATTTTTTAAAAATATAGCTAAAAGTTAACAAAAACACACCTGTACGTATCCGAAATGGACATCGGTGGTGGTATAGGCGAATACATCGACGTATTGTTAAAACCCTGAAGACGTGGTGGTGACGCAGCTGGTCCTGGGTGCTCAGCAGGTGCTGGAGCACCCCGACGTTGATTACGCAATTTTTCTTCTCTTCGCCACTTTGCCCTTCTGTTTGAGAACCACACTTGAATCCTTGCTTCCGGAAGACCAATTTTCGCCGCCAACCTCTCCCGTGCAAATACATCGGGATAATGTGTTCTTTCGAATTCTGGAATTGGGCGACGGAGATACTTAAATTGAGAAGGATTTTTTTATTCATGAAATTACCTTTTTCGAGGCTGTCTATCTGGTCGTTCGTGAAAGACGTCCGGTTTCTTTGCAACTTCCTCTTTAGCCTAAGTCTAGCTTGATCGTCGTCCGGTCCTATACTTGAGCCGGCATTTGAGTTGTCCCCGGAGTTGGTTTCGTCCGAATTTATTCCATCGAGGTCCGTTACTGTGAAATAAGAAGATTTGGTTATACTTCTCTGTGATGTCCCACTGGATTTTTAAATATACTATATTAGATGAATTTTTTCGGAAAAAACACTGATATGTTAGAGTATAATTTGCCGCTGTGACGGTGAAAGTTCGTCTTGCCAAGCCAAGTAAATAGTGATTTTACATGAATGAAAAAACTGTTATGTAAATTCAAACACGACACAATAAAATTTCTTTGGTTTTTAGATCTTCATAAAGCGTTGTGATCTATTAGCAGTCTATTTTTGGAAAATTTTAAAACGCATTATCAGGTGTAGGTATTTACTACATATATACCTTGCTTGTCGTTGATTTTTAATATTTTTAACGTGTGCATTTACAGTTCTGCAATATTTCAGATTAATTACTTTAACGTATTTGAAAAAGACGGTTTCGTTTTTTATTTCCATTTTTTAGGGGTGGACAGCTCTAATGATAACTCTTTGAAGACATTGTTTGTTCACATAGATAGCAAGTAGTTATTTATGTGCTTGTATCTAACATGTGTTATTTAGTTTATTAACTTCCATTTCCCTTGAAAACTATGAAATCAATCCATTTTCTTAACGATAAAATTCTACATTTTACTTTTTTTTATGATAAAACATAAGGTAAAATGAAAATGGAGTACATTATTAAAGGGCAGATAAAGGAGCTGTATGTTTTGAACTTGGCTTTAAAAAAAAAATGGAATGACGTCATGAACTTGTTAGTGGGGTTAGTTTTGTTATCTACAGCGTAAAATGTTTTCATACATTTTTTGGGACATCTGTATGAAGAATTCAAAAAAATATGGATACACAAGAAGCATCAAGTTGTTAGAAGGAATGGATAACTGAATTCTGATTAGTATGTATATACTAAGCGTAAAACGTATGCAAAATTTCAAAACAGGCGGTTTTTTTTCTAAAAATCTACATAAGTATGGTTAAAAATGAAGTAGATTAATAAACCACAGGCATTAAAGCATATTATTTGCACATTTCAAAGTGGATTAACTCTGCAAGATTTTTAAACGACTTCATTCAATGTTTGATAGGAATAACAGATAAATTTTGCTCAATGTTTTATCACCTACACAATAGTCTTACGACAAATTTAGTACTTCATAACAATCTATCCAACAGCTTGGGAAATCATCTATCTAACAAAATCGCCAACAGACGATAGATACATGACAGTTTGTATTTTTTTTACGCGTAGGTATAACTAATTTTGTAATTTTTGTCAATATTATTTCTTTCGTTAACAAAGCCATTTGCGAAGTTGACTACTACACCAGTAAAATTATTCTATTGATTAATATACGTTTCACATATAACATCCGAGAACATTCGTTAATAATGTCTTCTAAGCTAAGACTGTTGCTATAGTTCCGATTTTGTTGACAGCGATGTTTAGACTAAATTAAACAATCCTAGTCTTTCTTTATCGGGAAGTTGAACGGTAAACGAAGGTCGCTAGTGCAGCTGATGGAGTTTGTTGATAAATTCAATTTCACACTGGACAATAGTCCCAATTGGTGTAATGTTAGTTACATAAAATTTTTACTTCCCGAGCGTAAACTAAGGAAGTATGGTAATCGAGTCTATCAGGCGATTTGCCAGTTTTATGACCCCTTGAGCACGAAAAAAGTGGTCTTCCATTTCCGTCTGTATAGGGTCTGTCTGTTTGTCTGTTTGTCTCTCTATGCTGATTTTTATTAGACAGATAATCTCCGAAACTACTAGACCGATTGTAGTCAAATTTTGTATGTATATATATGTATTAGGAATATCAAGTATATGGTAAAACGCTAACCAAAATTGGCTAATCATCAACAATTTGATGGCGGTATTAAAATGGTTTAAATGTTATACAGTAATATATGTACTCCTATACTTGTGGTATACGAATCCGTTTTGAGTTTTTTCCGTAAACGGTCGAAAAGTATGATATCATTTTACCACTTACATAACATGTAAATCTCCGTGGAGTTATGGTTTATGTATCAGTACGTAGACCTGCGGGTCACACGTTCGATGCCAAAGCGGCCAAACTTTTTTTCTCGTGCGCTGTGACTAGTATTATATATGTTGTTGACGTCATCACAAATTTTTGTTGTGGAAAACCTCACTTGAAATTTAATTTGAGGAAAAGCAACCAAATTTAATTTCCTTTTAACGCAGGTGCTTGTCATCGAAACGCACTAATAGTGAATTCTTTCGAAGTAACATATAAACATAAACAGTCCAAATTATGTATTTAATGACTAGTGAGACACTGAGAAAACATGTTTTCCCGTTGGTTATTTGTCTGAAATATATTACATTTTGTCCCCTTTTGTGCGAAATGCGCCTCGTTGCAATTGTTTAGAATTACTTATACAGGGCATTGATTACAGAGTGACTCAAAAAAAAATGGATGAGTCAATTTATTTCATTGATTAAATCAGCGGTTCACTCCATTTTCCCGAAAATTAGGGAGTACAATACTATTATGATTAGTATTACTCTGCACGTATCCAAAGTGTCCTTGCAAAAATGTTAATAAAGTTAGCACAAAATTTTGTAAAAGAAAAACTCATTTGAAACACACCTACGCGTAGCACGCTTCTTCGTATTTACTTTAACCTTGCATACATATCTTTGTTGAAACTTGTAGGGATTCTCATAAAAAAATAATATTCGCCAAATCAAAATCCGTAATTTTTCGAAAAAGCTAGATATGATTTATTGTACTTCAGGGGCCAGGAAAGTTCTGTCGATTTGTCTTCGTTATACAGGATTGATGAATTATATACAAATGACTTTTAACTTTGCCATAGATGTTTGCAATGCAAATGGATCCTCTGAAGTGTTTGTTATACCCAAATCAGGGTGCCAAGTTTTTTTTTAGGTGATAAATAGTTATCCAACTAGTAACTGTGTTTTGCAGTGTTGCAACTAAGGTGTAATATAGTGTACTTCGAAACGTTGAGAGGTAATTTTGTTGTAGTCTTCTTCTATCTTTGCGTGGTCGCTGGATTAATCCTAAATTTTACAGTCGTCGAAAAAAAGTGATTTTTAGGAAATCAGTTTTGGGATACTACTGCTTTGGAGAAAAGTACTCGCAACAGAACTTTCAGTTGAACAGAATCACATATACTGTAAAGATTGTGTTTAAAACGTAGTTGTCCTTTGGATAAGTGTCAAGTGAGTTTGAAAGGCGTAAATGTCTAACATCTGCAAGTTTATAATTTTATAACAGCAAACACGATTGTTGAAGCAGTACCTGTAGTCCTCCAGTAATTAAGATGTGTATGTACCTGCGTTGAAAGAAGAAATTATAATTGCGGCTAGTGGTTTGATTGACACGGGTAGGGACGGCTGGGACTTGCTAAAGCAGTGCGGGAAAAATTTAGATCCGCGCTTTAGAATGGTCCAAGAGTTTTTTTTTACAAATTTTGCATCATGGTGGAGTGATACCTTACAAGAATAAATCCTAAATAAAAACACGAAATGGAAATAACACCTAAGGCAAAGAACAGAAACCAACTATGAGCAATATAGACAACAACGTGATTTAACAAAATAAAAGTTAAAGAAGCCAAAGAGAAATCTTTGAAAGAATTTGGAAAACCATTCTACAGAGTATTAAAAACAATGAGATCAGGTAAAAAAGATCAACCTAACCATGTTCAAAAGAAAGATGGCTCTGTAGCAATCGAGGAATAAGAAATTATGGAACGCTGGGAAGAAATTACCAAGGTCTGTTATGTACAAAAGGCGTACTCAAAAATGCAGTGAACACAAACCACCATTAACCAAGACAAACATAGAGAAAGATGATATAACATACAAAGAATTAAAAATTAAAGCATGACACGAAGAGATAATATCGAATGATTGGGAATTAAAAGTCATTCTCCCCATCTACAAAAAAGGAGATAACAAAGATTGTAATAATTATAGAGGAATTATGCTACTCAGCTCTGTGATAAAATTATACGAGCAAATAATTGAATCTAGACTTAGACCACTCATCGAACCGACACTAGAACAGTCGCAAAGTGGGTTCAAGAAAGGGCACAGCGTACAAGATCATATAATTACCCTTAAAGATATTACGCACAAGAAATTCTAGCATCTAAGGGGAAAACATGCGTAGAATTTTTAGATCTTGAAAAGGTTTTTGATAGTGTACCACGGGGAAAAGTCTGGAATATGTTAGAAGAAAGAAACATCCCTGACAAGTTAACGAAAATAATAAAGAGCCTATATAAAAACAACAATAGTTAGGAAGGACTACGACAAGGTGTCACAATCACAATATTCATGGACGGTATCATCAAGAATGCAAAACGAAGACAAAAAAACTTTTTGTAAGATACAAAAAGATAAATTGAATAACAATATCCGAGTGTGCGTTTGGCGATGACGTTGCTATAATCGCCAACAGCGGGAAATAACTTGAGCAGAGCCTTAAGGCACGGAAAAACGTTTTAGACATCTATCTTTTTGGAATTAGTATTGTATAATGTTATAGGTTATTATTTTTATATAGTATATATACTTCGGTTTTTTTTAGTTCTATTTTCTTATTTCCTGTTTTAAAATTAAGTTGGTTTGTCCTGTGATTGGTGTTGTAAACACTGTTGGGCGTAAATAAATATTATTATCATTATTATTATTAATATTATTATACATTCTTAAGGAAAAAAAAAAATATGGAGGAAAACAAAAATTAATGTTGATCCTAACAAAGAGATTGATAAATACGACACAAACGATGGAAATGAAGTTCTTAGGAGAAGTCAGAGGCGCCACAATTATGGACAGAATGAGGACTACAGAATTAAGGAAAGATTTAGATATATCGGATACGAATTTATTGACCAGAGACAATTAGCATGGGTATCGACAGGCAGGTGAAACAAATATGGATAGCTAAAGCACAGATTAAGAGAGGTAGATCAAAATTGACATAAAACAATGAACTGGGATCAATCTTGACTAA